TACTCCCCTGCCCCTTCCTTGGCAGGTAAACCCATTGAGAAACCAAAGCTGTTTTTAAATTAATGAGTGCAAAGATGTGCCGTTCCCAACATTGTTTTCATACTGCATCATCTCTCCTGGCTTGCTCCAAGGCATCTAAGAGAGTGAAAAGCATCCTTAATTGAAGAAGCACAGAATTGGAAGGAAGGAAGTTCTGAAAAGCTGCCCAGGAAGGTCTTTGAAACAGCAGGAAAGGGAAGATGGGTTTAGATAGCTCATAAATTCAACTTTGCCTGGTCAGCACCTTTTGAAAAGCTGGGATGAATCAAAGCATGAAGGGCAAAAGGCTGCAAAGACCTGGGAAAGAACATGCATACGGAGAGCCGCAGGACAGACTCTGTTCCCCGTCCTCAAAGAGCTTGTTCAAATCCATTTTGATTTCTTGTCATTGGGGCTCCTGGGGTTTTTATGAGTTATGATGGCCTCCTCCCAATCCCCCTTGCTCTGTTCCACTTAAAAAGGAGGCTTAAATGGGTACTTAACCGTTGATGGCAGTACATTGATCGGAAACCCAAGACTGTGGTTCCTGCACCTTTCCATCTCCTGCACAGCTGGCTCTGTCATGCTCAATATATCACCAGCAAATCTCTCTCTTTTTCCTCCCCCAAATCCTTGCCCACCGTTTGAGAGAAGCACTTGCGCTGAAGCTGATGGAGAGCTTCCATTTCACAGCCCACAAAGACCAAATCAGGTTCTTTGCTGCCTTCTTGCCTTGAAATCTGACTGTACCTTCCCCTGCTCTTTTCTATGCACCAAAACTTGTCCCTTAATATGTAAGAGTTGTATATATTTTGCAACAGACCTTGGTGTAAAGTGGAACTCAGGAGGCAGCTGTTTCTAACTTTATTTTGCAGATCAAACATTTGCACTATTGTACAATGGGGTATTGACGTTTTGGGTGTAGAAAGTGGAGTTCTGCACATAGATCTGTTGTGCATCAACCTGAAATGTATACTCAGCTACATACAGTGTCCCTGTTTGCAATGACACTGTGCAACTGCTACATCATTCTTTTTCCAATACATTACTCCTGGTTTCCTCACTGTAGGCTCTCAGCCAGTTTTTTCTGTCTTCTGCTGTTCACAAGAGAACTTGGCAACCCCAAAGTCTGCTGGGAAGGGCCTCTTATCTCCACTGTTTCATTTTGTTCCCTTCCAACCTCCCCAAGGCCATTTATTTTGCCGCTTGGTCCTCATTGTTAGGGACGCTCCTTCGCAGCCCTGTTTGCCTTGGTTTTCATGCCACGGTGACACCATCAATCCTCTCGGCCGTCCAAAGAAAACAATCGGCCACTGGCACCCAGCGTCCTCCGTTGGCTATTTCACGGCTGGGCAAGGCTCCAGAGAGCAATCTTTGCACACAGGAGGAGAGAGGAGGCTCTCCCAGTTGGGCAGCCGCCTGTGGGCCCATCAACCGGGGGGGGGGGTCTTTTGGCAGGTGGCAGAGATGGGTCTCACCTTTTCCCCCTCCATCACTTCGGTCTCCCCGAGAGTCTGCAGGAAGACTTTGTTCCATCTCAGGGGAAGCAGACATTTTAAAAGAGGGTTTCACCAGTCTATGTCAGAGTGGGCAACAAGTGGTCCGGGGGCCAAAGCTGGTCCCCAAGGATATTTTGGCAGCCCCTGACTCTGAAGGAGTCCTCACACCACCCGCTTTCTGGCCAGAAGAAACAAAAGAAAGTGATCCACCTCTCCTGGCAGCTTTTAAGTACATTGCAATGACTTTCTGCACTGTGATTTCAAAAAGCAGACAACCCCCTTCCCCCCCAAAAAAACCCTTAATTTGGAAAACCAGAAGTGGACTTCCAGTTGTTTCTGGTTCTGTTTTTCCATTTCTTTTGGCATTGTAGGAAATCTGTGTGGCCCCAAAGGGTCCCAGGGGGAGAATACTGGCACCTGGAACCACCCTAGTTGCCCACCTGTGCCAAAGGAAGGAAGGAAGGAAGGAAGGAAGGAAGGAAGGAAGGAAGGAAGGGTCTGCTGTCCTTTCAAGAAGCACCATGTAGCATGTTGTAAAAGCTTCGAGTTGGCAATGGACATGTTCAGAAGTCATGGCCAAGTAGGGAATTGAACCCTGGTCTCCAGAATTTAGAGACCTAGCCACGTCAGTCTAGAATATCAGTATGCCAAGGGATCTTGTGGCACCTTTGAGACTAACTCTGCAAAAGAAGTTGCAGCATAAGCTTTAGTAGACTTGGTCTACTTCCTCGGATGCATGGAGAGATCTCCTGGTCTCCGGAGTCATAGTCCAGTGCTCAAACCAGGCAAATGGTGATACAGACCAAGGATGATACAGTATTATCCAAAAAAATGTGCATTATGTGCACAAAACAGTGACACCTTTATGGTGCCATGAAAAATGTGCATTATGCATTTTGCAAGCTATAGAACCTCCACTGGTTTCTACATCAGGAAAAGGTGTTAAAAACCAGACAGAAGAAAAAAAAAAAAAAGGGGGGGGGGAATTGATGATATTAGTCATAGGTCTGCATTTGGTCCAGATGTTGTGGTTGTTGTCCTCAGTTCAGATGACATTCATGTAAGTGGGCCCCTCCTCATCCTGGCCATGTGGATACTGGGAGATTCAGTCCAGGGAATCAACTTTAAATTCCATTAACAAGACAAAAAGCTCCTGCCTCTGAGATCCACTTTGGTGCTCTGCTATATGGCCTACATGGCTACCCCTGGGATATCTTTATTGGAGAAAAATGCCCCACTGTTTGCCCAGGGGGACTTCTGGCCCATGAATTTTGGAATAAGTGGACCTGTACATGGAATAAAGTGCTTTGGCTTGGCTGACAGACTGGAGGAAAGAAAGAAAGAAAGAAAGAAAGGCCTGTCTGGATGGCTGCCTCCTTCCCTGGCTTCCCCGCAGGGCTTTTTGGAAGAACTCCCCATCGCTGGCCCTCTTCTTCCGTCCCTCTTGTTGGCCAAGGGATGGAGGCTGGCTTGGAGGGCTTCAAGCTCTTAGCCGGTCCTTCCATTGTCAGCCCCCAAATGTTTAGGAATCAGCCGTTTAATAAGGACAAAAGGGGATTAATTGGTGGTTTAGGCCTAATGAGACTGCTGTGCAAATCAACGGCCAAACAGACGGAGTGGTGGGTGGGTGGGTGGATGGTTGCTGGGGCTCCTTGCCCTGCCAGGACATCTTGCGAATGGAGATCAGGAGTGGGCCAAGAGGAGGCCAGCTGGGGCCGCATCCCCCAGGGAGGACCAGAGGGAGAACAATCCAAGCATCCCTCCCCTCCTTGGCTCTTGGCACCCCCATCTTCCCCAGGCCACAAAGAAGGGAGCCTCTTCCATTTGCATCTGAAAAGGCCAAAGGCCTCACGCTTGAGGAGCCAGGAGAGCTCTGCTTCCAGGGGGATATTTAG